CCATAAGCGCGACATTTATCACGAAACCATTGTGTTCAACTGGAATGACTCTATGTTGTCTATCATTCCCAATCAACAGACTAAAAATCCTGAATCGATTTTGCGTGAAGAAATCATCACTAAATCATCATCACCTGCGTTGGTCAGGCTAGTATTTCATTGATCATTTGAATCTGATGATATTACATATTTACCACAAAAAACCCTTCCAGTCTTAAAGATCAGTGATTTAAATATTGGTGCTAAGATTTTGAATCAAATTAACTGATAATGCAAATGAATGTCTGGAACATCGGTTATCTCTTAGTGCATGATGGTAGTTATTATTTCATGTATTTCACCTACTAAGTAAGCTGATTGATAAATTTTCAGCCAAATTCTCCTGCATTCATTTATCAGCTGAATGTTCAATTATTTTTTTTATCTTGATAACTTTATTCTCTGTTTTCTCATAATACTACCATTCTCTTTTTCTTTCACCAATATTCTTAACAACAATTAAATCCTAAAAAAGATTGCCTAGAAATGACATTAATGAAAGTGCTGCAAAACACTTTTTTAGCAAGGAAAGTTCACAGATCAAGATTTAAATTAAAATCTATCAAATTTACATGAGTCACTGCTATTCGAACCACGTGTTCTGCATTAATATAGGAAATAACTACCTTCTTAACATCAGCAATTAACACCGCTATTTCTTGCTCAATTATTTATTTTTCCGCAGAGTTTTGAGGCTAAAGATGATTTTAAGCAAGCGTATCGGTTTTTCGATTCAGTACTGTGTCATCAAATGCTAATTGCAAATGGAATAATTTATTTCATTGCAGAAATGATTTTCGTACCAGGCTTGTGCTGAGAATTTCAAACTTTCTTTTATTGGAATTTAAAATTTTCCTTTAGTGCGGAAAGTTTGTAAAAATTAATTCAACATTTCGAGTTTTCTGCCTCAGCAATAAAAGGGCTTATAGATTATTAGTGCATTTTGAGTCTAAAGAAATCGCTACTGCATTCGTTATTCGGTAAACTCTATTTCTTTAGCCAAACAGAAATATTTAAATATTGCATCATTGCAAGTTGGAAGTATTTAAACTTTGTCAGATTATTGAATTATAATATGTTACCAAAAAGTGCTAGAAGGTAATACAAATGGAGCAGAAGGAGAAAAGGACTGTCACAGATATACGGCAACTGTTTCAGGTCAAGATCTTTGATACTGCTGAGTGAGTAAAGTTCTTATAAAAGGAAATGCAACTGTTATCATGGGAGCATCTCCATACAATATCTCTTCAGCATACTATGAATACGATAAGATCGAGAACTTTATTATAATGTTATCATGATGGCAATCAGATGACCTATCAACTTCTGTACCTTTTTATTCCATTTACCTACAACCGATGAAACCATTGAGGAAGACTATGAATATTTTCAAATTTCATCCCGAAAAATTACTCATAAACATTTCCTCAAATTAGAAGATGCGCAGTGTTTGTAAGTAATCAAATTTAAATATTGTTTCTATAGTTGCAAACGAATTGCTTTAACCTTTTGATGCCATCTCACCTACCGAACTCCTAATCTATATGTTATCATTTATCGATTTTTTCTTTTTTTTGCATCATTTTCTCATTCATTTTCTTTATTAGGACCGAATTGGGATTTATCCACATCTGCATATCCTCCGCTACGTTTTCCTGACCTTCCTGTCTTAACATTCAAAACTCTATCGCTCACTTCCCTACCATTAGTCACTTGCAGAAGTTTCGAGAGACTAATTTAGTATCGTACTACTGATTTATTTTTTGGCAATAATACTTGTTTCTTATATCATCTATTTGTGAATGCACAAAAATGTTGATAGTGATTATCAGGTAATATCCCCTAAATCCAATGCATCGCTCTTTTTATGAGAAAATCGAGTAAGTGTGATATTCATGTTTCATAGTTACGTGGTGATTGTAATTAAACTCAGTGAGAAATTTACGAAATTGTCCGTAAGGAAGCATGTAAAAATGCAGATGATACGAACAAGTTGTTTTGTTATTTTGGATGACCTCAATCCAAAACAAGTACTGCTCTTACCTGTGGAAAAGAAAATAGGAAGGAGAGAGGGCAGGATGGGGAGGAGAAGGAGAAATTTCATGGAGTACACAGTTCGCATATAAATTACCACACATTTGAAGCAATAGCAACGCCCTATCTCCTCCTAGAGGATGATCCACTCCTTCTTGCTGTTGTCTCATCTCTTTCACCGTTTTATTTGATATAGGTAGTTAGAATCGTCGGATTGCACTTTCTTGCTATAACATTTCAGAATCTCTCATGGATAATTTCCGTCATTCCCCGCGTCATACCACCTTCGCCCATAAATACATTTGGACAACTACTACTTCACTAGTTTTATTTTATAATAACTAAGGTAACATTTCTCATGCCATATGTTTAACATCTGAAAGATTCTGCATAAAGGTAATTTATTCCTTCTTATCTTAATATTTTATAATCTCAAGTCATTAACAAAAAAAATTCCTTCATCGGACAAGTGGTTGGTAATGTAACTTCCACTGAGAGACTTTTTTTTTCGGTGCTTCAACAGTTCTTTCTGTGATTATTCTGTGCATATCCGGAAAACATCATCTATTCTGGGAGCAAATATTGAAATCATATCGAAAATATTCTGCAAGTTACAGCTACACTTAAGGATAAGTTTATTGAAACAAAAATTGTTCTTCGATGACTGAGAAGTATTTTATCCGAAATACATTCTCTTATTGTCATCCATTATTCGTTCCACTTTTGAGTCTACCAAATATTACTAAAAAATTCCTCTTTCCTCGTTTCATTCCAGAAATTCCTCGTTCCATTCCTCTTTCTTTCACTCACTCACAGTTTAGCTTTTCTGTTAAAAACTGAATTCCATATCTTTTTAGGTATTACTCAAGTGCAAAAACTGTGCTTGGTGTAGATCATTGCCTGTTGTTTCATCTAAATAGACTATGTTCATCCTTAGGCTGTTTATCTGTGCTTTTGTTCTCGAAAGATTGTTGACTGGAATTTTCTTTTTATTGGTTTATGCTCAAAATTAACATTGTAGTACTGGTTGACTGTTACCATCATGAAGCCTCCAATCCTTAACTGGAAGAGAAGATTGAACTTCCGATTGTTTAGATAATTTGGGCCAATCAGAACTTGTCCGAAAAATTACTGATCGAAGGTACAGCAAATGTTTAAATGTCTCTGCTCTATACGCATATTCGTTATTCAATTCTGAGTAGAACAAGGGTCCGTTTTGAACATGTCATTAGTTTAGCTTGTCAAATAAATGAAAAGATGTAATTACTCATCTCTATTTTATTTTTAGGCAGTTCATTTCTACAGTTTCACATGCTGATTTATCTCAAAAAATAATTCTACACCATTGGTATCTCAGATTTTAAAATGGTCGAAACGAGATCATTCTGCCAGTTTCTGCAACATGCCGAATTTTCATATAACCTACTTTGTGATCATTTTTTGCCAGACAACAATAACGTGACTTTCACAGATACAAAAAACGTGGCAACGGTAACTGTTCTGGATAATGTAGAGACAAATTTGCCTGCTGTCGCTGCACTTGGCGCTATGCATGTATGCACCAGTAATCAGGTGACTTGTCAAACTATTACTTCCGTTTCAACAAAGTCCATCAATTTTCCAAACGTTGTCTGTGTAAAGTGTGCTTAATGTATTAATATGTTTGTTGAGCCGAAGTTTTGTTACGTACTTCCTCCGAAATCTGATATCAGAAGATGCTTTCTGGACGGGGAAATTTGACGGACAAGTTATTTGAGAATCTATCAGATTAACTCTGTCCGATTGGATTATGTTTGGTACTAAACTTTTCATTAATTTATCTTCTTAAACTGCGGACGAATTTCTCACATTTCATAGGAGATCGTCTATGTTTTTGATAATTTTACTTAAAGTATTTTTCATTACCTTAAATATTCATCGTGGATGGAAAATATAGATGTGAAAATTGCAGGCTTATCTTATGTTCTGTAAATGTGATTTGAAATATGCAATGAAATCAGTCACCATTGAAGAATGTGAACAAGATGAATATTATCTTAAAATCGATAAATGTCGTCAACGCTGCATGAAAGTACGTTTTATCCCTATTTATGCTCTTACACTGTTTTTGATACCGTGATCAAATAAATCATAATGTACGTTTGGCATTTTCCCAAAATACTAGAACTGCCTGCAACCGGAATACGATGTGTTTCCGGTCGTTGGTATAACTATATTCCGAACATAGGACGGCATTCTAATCTTTGATTTAACCACTAGCTATTCTGTCGATGATATCAAAGATATTAATCATTTTTTAAAATTCTTGAAACATAACTTCATTATGTGTGGGAGAAACAATTTCTAGATCAGCAGCTTATGGAGTAATGATGTTGACTATTCGAGATTGCCGGTATATTATAGCGCGTTTGAAGATCGCCGGCAACAACATTTACTTGTTCATGTTTATGAACAGCTAGTCAATGTCACGTTGAAAACACGTAATATGGACGTATGTAAAAATGTCACTGTCGATTTGTATGACGCCGACTTGTTCGTTGGGTTACTTCATTTCATGTAGAACCAATAAAAATCACATAAGCAACCGAAAGAGCTTGAGATATATAGAAGCGAGTGAAAAAATTGTCTTTTAGTTAAGCTTAAATGAGAAATCTTTTCTTGGAAACTATTGTTCGATGGAAAATTAAACAAATCATTATATTTCATTTATAAGTTGAGATGCTACTAGCTCTGTTAACTTGTGTTTGTTTCAGTAATGAGAAAACTCGTCAGCTTTATAGAGACTTGATGGGATTTATAGTCGCTGATAAAACACGTTATTTCCAAATTACCATTGGAAAGTAATTTTTTTCTTTTTGATAACTTAATGAATATGTTTCAAACCACTGCAATTTTTCAAAACATAAGTCGTAATTTTTTTCTCTTTATTTTTAAATTATTTCATCATAGATCTGACTTACAAGCGATTACTGCAAATAAACGGACAAAAAATGCAAAAATGATGTATAAGGAATTGAATTCTGAAAATGAGTTCCATTTCTTTGAGTACGATTCCGTCGTTACTTTTATGAATCGACATGATTATCTGGATTTCTTGTATCATATAAATGGAGTATGTTATTTGTGAATTTCTCATTTCAATCCCAAGTTTCAGTTTTAAAGGAATGAAAATGAGCGAGTTTGACTTTTATCCTTCAAATCACTGACTGTAAATTTATCAATATTATAGTTTTGTAGACCATTATGTTATTGCTTCTGATGTTTAAATTACTGAAATCAACGACGTCGCTTATAAATGGATATAAAGTTCAGTCTTATCAAGCGAATTGCAGGTGTTAGGTATAGTAGCCATTGAAAAACAACAACCGGTTGGTTATATTCTCGCTCTCAACAACCATATTTTGCAGTGTTACGCGAATACTCTCGAAATAGCTTGGTAAGCAGCAGTAATCTTCAAAAAGCTTGTGAGTTGATTCCTGGAAAGCTTACTGATAACTTTCATGAGTGTTACAGTGGTCTGATTCGGAAGCTGAGTGATAAGATGTCAGATCAAATCCCAATAACAATGTTTATGCGTGAATGCAATGAGTGGGTTTGCAAGGAACTTCTGAATAAGGCACGACAAATAAACCGCATTCATCGTTTCCACAGTCGCATACTTCCCATTCGTATTAAATGGGAAAATGTATTCTTGATGAATATTGGTACTTATTTATTTTGAATATTCATTTTTGTCCTCACTTCCATCAAATTCTTTTTAGAAAAATGAAGTTAAGGAAAGAATAAATACCGTATTTAAAATATTTCAGCTGATCTCTTCGTCTCTGTCTTTACAGCAATTCATCAATTATAGTCTAAAACTAACGAACACTGTTCTAATGGTTGGTTTCAGAACCATTACCACCTTATTTTCTAAAGTTGTTAGTATTTGTATTACTAAAATAAATATATTATATATAGCACAGTATCATGTGAATTGATAAAAGGACTGAAGTGATCCAACTGAGTGTATATCATTATTTTAAAGCGGCCACTGTGCTTTGTAAATGAATCAGTTCATTTCTGTAAAACAAGGAGTTTTAGTTAGATGTCAAACCCGAGAGTTTAAAATATTTCCTTCATTTCGCGAAAAAAGTCGGGCATCCTCCTCTATTGATAGCGCTTTTACCAGTGATGCATTTTTGCATCAGTTTTACCTACTGCAATCCAAACATCAAATTTATTTTAATTTGGTTTATGAAGGGGATCTTGAAAAAGCACTGTCGAAAATGAGTCTCTAATGAGTTTGGGATGAATTAATCATCCGCAAGTGGTAGACCAAAGGAGTTTCTGGTAAAACAAAAAAAGAGCGAAAGTGAAGATAAAGGCATTTTGATAAAAAATTTCTGTATTTGCAATTTCTGTATGCTAATTGGTTTATTCTTTCGGTGAAAGAATTCATAAAATTAATAAAGAAGTTGAATAAGTTTCAAATTAAATTGTTAAGTAAAAAATTCTGGACGAAATGCTAACATTCTTTTGTCATTTCACTCAGAGCTATCGTTTTTCAAATTCATTAGTCTGATATTTCGTCTTTTGAGAAGTCAACAAAAGCCAAATTTTGAGCTCAATTTGAAGTTCTTATCCAATGGCACTTGCTAAAAGTTTCGTTGTATTGGAATTTTTTTATTATCTTCGCTTAACCAAAGAAATAGGAGAAAGCAGACTGTCCTTATTTCATAAATAATCGTGTGTTACAAGTAACTCAGCACAATACCAACACCAGTTTCGCTTTAGATAATGATTTTATGCAGCAAGTTTTGGGAAATACTAAAAATTCACCTGATTTCCGTTAGCTTTTATTTATTAGACCGTAAATAATAGTAATGCAATAAACCATCCCCCCGTTAAAATACATATTTCCTTCGTCTTATTATTCCATAAATTTTGTCTTGAATTCCATACGTCCTCATGGCTACTCTAGAGAAACTAACTCATATTGCGTGAAAATTGATGTCGCTTTTGTTGTTACAAAGATTCCCAGTTGCAAATCTACCTCTTCCCATTTCATTGGTTAAACGAAGAAGTTTCACTTCGGAAGACAATGAAAAAAACTTCAAAGTAACGGAACTTTTAGCAAATGCCATGGGGTAAGAATTTCAAACTGAGCTCAGAGTTTGGCTTCTTTTGCTGATTTTTCAAAAAATGAGGCCTCACACTTGCGAATTTGAAAAATGACAGGTCTGAGTGAAGCGACAAAAGAATCTTCTCTTAGCACTTTGTCCAAATTTTTTTTTGTGAATGTTTTCAAAGAAGGAACAGATCAAACTAATTAAATATACAGGAATTACAACGAATCTTCAATACCATAAACATTTTTTTGCATAATTTGACGCTCAAATTCTGTGAGATACAAGAAAAGTTGAGCTTCTTTGGAGCAGAAGCCTTGAAATACGAATCTCTCAGAAGTGCAAGAGTTATGACTCTGGCTACTACGTTCCAGCACTTTTTTAGAAGTTTGTAAAG